CAAAACATAGGCATGTACATATATATATATATATACATATCTAGATGTGTATAAGAGACAGCATCAAGAGGCTGAAACATATATATATATATATTGTCACACTGTGAATCGGAGCGCAAAGGCGGAAAAAAGCAAAACAAGGAAGGGAAAGCAGAACAAGGAAGGGAAAGAAAAAAAAGTCAGGAAGGCGAAAAAAGGCAAAACAAGGAAGGAAGGACATCAGAGCGCAAAAGAGAAAAAAAAACAAAGAAAAACTGAATTCGTTTTTTTATCTTCTTCCTTACAACTCCCCTGTTCAGAACCTCTTGCGTACAAGGTCGCCCACGTGGATGTAGGTTATATATAGATATATATCGTCACAGTGTATCGGAGCGCAAAGGTGAAAAAAACAAAGCAGAAAGAGCAAAGAAGGAAAGCTCCGCCCGTTCATCACCTCTTACGCACAAGACCGGCCACGTGGATGATGATTAATATATATGTCGTCACAAGAATATCAGAGCGCAAAAGCAAAAAAAAAAAAAGGAAAAAAAAAGAAGCAAAAGGAAGAAAGAAAGAAAGAAAAACAGGAAAAAATGAATTCATTTTTTTATCTTCCTTATAACTCCCCCTGTTCAGAACCTACTGCGTACAAGGCCGCCCACGTGGATGTAGGTTGACCGGCGGCTGCCCCCACCCCCGAGTGTCATATAGACGCACTTGCACACAGCCAAAGGGCAAAGAGGCAAAGAAGAGAGGAAGGAAACAGCCAACTACAACAAAACAGGGGGCAATAAACAACAGCACAAAAAACGGATCCTAGATGACAACTCCCACATGCAAGCACCGCCCCAGCCATACACAGGCCAAACGACGGGACAAGACCACCCAGGACAGAGCACTTTTGTCTGCAAAAACAGAATCCCAGATACAAATCCAAACATAAAGGACAATCCCAGATGATGATTCCCACATAGAAGCACCGCCCCCTCACAGAGGCCGAACAACGGGAAGCAACCAACCAGGATGCCAAAACGATAAAGAAAACCCGGATGACTGGTCCCACGTGAAAGCACCGCTACGCCCATGAAATAGTCCGAACAACGGGACCAAACCAACCGGTATGAAGACAAGGTTACCAAAACAAATTCTACCATATCCATAGTAAAAAAAAGGGAACCATACAGTAGGTCCGCAAAACGAAATACCTCCTAAAAAGGGGAAGAGCAACACAAGAAAATGTGGGATGATAGGACGATGATTCGGGCTATTTTCAACATAAATGAATTCTTGCGTGCACTGACAAGGAAATCGAGAAATATTTTCTTCCATAACCAAAGAATATATCGTCACATAAATATCAGAGCGCAAAAGCGAAAAAAAGAAAAAGAAAAAGAAAAGAAAAAAATGAATTCGTTTTTTTATCTTCTTCCTTACAACTCCCCCTGTTCAGAACCTCTTGCGTACAAGGCCGCCCACGTGGATGTATATTGTCACAGGAAAATCAGAGCGCAAAAGAGAAAAAAAAAACGACGAAAAAATGAATTCGTATATATTATCGTCAAACAGAACCGTCCGCTAATCCGTAAGCAGCAAGCGAGAAGAGGACAACAAACGAGGGGCTGTGACAAACTGCTTCGTCGGAGTTTCACCGACTCATCAGGAGGCTGGACCCTCAACAGTCTGCAGAATCCCCTAACTGATTACACTAAGTGATAATCCACCATAACACCGGTTGTGGTCAAGCATCAACGACTGCCCGACATACCCTGAGGTGGTGGGCACCAACGACCACTGATCTCAAGGTTCCTGTGACAAAATCAAAGCAGACTATCACTCACCCACACCAGATGGAAAACTCTACAGAGTGTCGGTTCACAATATATCCATGCCTACGGATGTTAACACGGCAATAACGCACGGCCATAGACAAACAATCGCGTGACCTGCCTTTCCTAGACCCCCAACCCGGCTACTCCACCCTACCCTAGACGCACAATATTGTTGAACATATCAGGAAGATCACGACCGCAAAACACATTGAATCGTCATCATCAAATCGAGAGATCAAGCATCTGAGCAGTGGAAAACTGCTTCACGAAACGCACGACAAGTGACCAAGCAGAAAATCCCCCCCCCAAAAAAAAAAGGCCGGACACAGACCACAAACAAACACTTCCGACGCAGCACGAGTCTTAAAATACTACTTACAGGTTTCTCCCGTTCAGCGCAACGAGCGCAGCTGCCGCAGACCGATGATCAAAATAGTCCACAAATCCATAGGATGACTGCCACGCAAACAATCACAGCACACAGAGCGAGGAGCCACAGGAACGAGTGAACCAGCACCATACAGTAAGACCACCGACTAACGACAGAAGGGCCATCACAAACAGGAGCATAAATGTTCGAGGTTTCACAAGCATCGACAACAAGGCAAAAACCGTCTTGTCTGCGTCTGCTAGAGGTTGCGTCTGCTGGCGGGAACATCAAAGTGACCGAAAACACTTAGTTTGACCGCCAGATCACCAGAAGAATAGTGTTCACGAAAATAGTTTGTCTGCAGAGCTCTGGTAGTGAAAAAGGCGGCAGGCCACTTTAAAAAGCCGCAGTTTCAGGCTCGCAGGGCTTGGAAGGTAGCGTCTTCAGCTTCGGCTAGTTTGAATCTGGATCGCTGGACTCCACGTGAACGACTAACCCAAGCCTGCAGTGAAGAGGGTGGGTAGTGAAAGCGGCAGGCCACTTCTAAAAGCATGCATCACACCAAGCCAAGGTGGAAAACCACCGACCTTTACGTGCCACAAACCTGGAGTCCAGCGGTACAGATTGTTGCCTTGACAACTAGTACAGCACGAGGTTAACCTCTCAATGGATTGATAGTCGACAGCGTACGACCCAAGGGAAGCAGAGAGCTAGCAAGGGACATGAACGAGAGATCACGACAGACGTCCCGCGGAAACACACTTGTCTCCAACGGGGATAAAGAAATAACCATAAGCGCTGAGGCTATGCTCAACCTAAACCCTGCGCCTGTGCGAGCTATGTCACACCCTCTAAAACGTCATTCGTATTCCATTCGTCATTTCCAGGAAAGCCAACTCACAACAGAGATACCACATCCTCAAGAACGGCATCAATATTAGGGCGTCACCGCACGGCACACCAAAAGAAAAACGAAACGAGTGCATCTTCCGGCAGAAAATGGCCAGGTTCATCGGTTTGCTATCAAAAGTAACGACTGTATTTGGCCACCTTTCGTGGGCAGATGCACTCGTTTCGTTTTCGTTTCGTGTGCCTTGTGGCGAGGCCCTCAGTCGATTCAAATGAGGCCAACTATAAACCGACTCTCCAACGAAACTCCAACTAAAATCAATCCTTGCCTCCGTACAATTGCCCCGTGGAAGGGTAAGACCGTCCAGCGTTGTTATAGGTAACAACCCACCCACTGCTGCAACCGCTGTGACTGAGCCAACGCGTGAAATCCAGAATCACACACAATCACGTTCGTGATAAGTCTGACGCGGTGGTGCATAGGATGCGATGTAGGGCTTCGCCGCAACACTCAACCGAGTACACAAAAGACAAATTATGGCGTAAGTACACAAAAACAAATTATGGAGTTTTTTCTTTCCGTGTTCTACGGTCTTCACTCCAGAGAATAGAACGCCCGGTCATTGTAGCCGTATTTGGTGACCGGCCATTCTATTCGGGTAAAGAATGGTGGAAACGCAGTGCGGCGAGGCCCACGGCTACATTTGCGGATTGCCCTCGTTCCGATCATTTTTGTCGGCCTTCGGCGAGGAGGGAACGATTACTTCCAAACCTGTTTAAAATGCGTGTGGTGCATCGAGTTGGATTGCAGAGGCGGCATTTGTCTATTGACATCTCGTAGACACCATATGGTCCCGGTGACCATGTTTCAGCTGCCGTTCAGCTCATTCCCACTTCTGTGTGTTTTTGGATTCGTGAAGTCTGCCATTCAGCTCATTTCCAGTCTACCCCTTCCTCATATCAATGTCGATTTCCCTCCGTCGACAAAACCAAACCTAAATTCTACCGCTCAACCAACGGACCTCACTCAGTCGGTACACCAATGAACTGTTCAAACACAAACGTTCGGATCCAGATGCAAACACATGAACAGAACAAAAAAACTCTGAATTAACTGGAGCCGCAGCCGGTCAGTACAGCAATGAGCTCTCAAGGCTTCGTCCATTTAAACACGCAAAAGAAAAAGAAGGCGCCGGTCTACAGTAATGGACTCCCAAGGCCTTCGTCATTTTAAACAGCAAAAAAAGACGAAAATTTCTGCCAGTCGAAAATTATCTCGCCTCTCATGGTCCGTCTTATTGTCCTTCATCGTTCGTTCTGAACTGATTGCAGTCTCGCTCTTCAGAAAAGTTCAGGATCTGAAGGCACGCGCGAAGACGCAAATCGTTGAGAATGGACAGACGGATGAACTTCGCGGCAAAAGCGCATCACAAACTGGACAATTTTGAAAAGACCACAACTCACACCTACCTGGCGTTTCGCCCCAGCGTACGACTATTGGCGGGTTAGCTGTGAAAAAGCTCACATATCAAGCACTCGCTCATATATTTCCAAAACAGTTCGAATATCACGCAACAATATTTACAAGCAAGTCTCTCCTTCCGGGAGACAACGGGAGTAAGCAGACGAGACAGGCGAGAGAAACGTAACGGGCGTAAAGAAAGAAAAAAAACGGCCGTACCTTCTCTTTCCGAATGAGCTTGCAGCCTTCGAGTGGTCCTGTCGTTGCGAAGAGCTCCGCCAGAAGGGTCTCTGTCACTTTGTTGTGAACGTTCCCAACGTACCTTCGCAATCACGAGGGCGAGAAGCGATCAGAAAAGAACCAGCCATATCAGTCAGAGAATAACCCTCACCATACCATCGCCAAGCTACAAGTGCCACAAAAACAAATGCAATTGAACGAATGTGCACTCGTCATCGACGCAAAACAACCGAGGAAGACAAAGTGAACGAAAATTAGAAGCGCCAGGAGTACCGAACAAATGTCTCTTTAATGTCGCCCACACTGCTAAGTAGCCTTGGAACCCTCACATCCCTCCCTTAACCATATGCCAGTACAACGAAAACGACAATTCTCCGACTTCCATACTATGTACACATTATATATCGTCACATAGATATCAGAGCGCAAAAGCGAAAAAAAAAAACATTATATATAGTCAAACAGAGCTTCCTTTTCGCCCACACTGCTAAGTAGCCTTGGAACCCTCACATCCCTCCCTCCCTTAACCATATGCCAGTACAACGAAAGTGACGATTCTCTGACTTCCATACTATGTACACATTATATCTCGTCAAACAGAGCTGCCCGGTAAACCGTAGGCAGAGAGGGAGAAGAGGAATATATCCTGTCGGGCCCATTCGTAACCATCAGCCTAACCTGAAGTAAATTCTACAATGAGCACAACCTAACAGGCCCATGCCCTTTAGTTAACTAGCCTTCAATCACGTTTCATTTCCGAGGTTTTCTCATCCGTTAATCACACTCGCAATCCATTTTTTTCATTCTTAGCACTGGTATTTTAATCGACTGACCACCTTACACTACAGCTTCAGTCCCACAGTCCGAGCATATCTGCCTGTCAGTTCGTCGCTCGTTTAAGAATTTTCACCAAAATCATATTCCAAGGGTACCTCCCCTCGTACTCTCGCTCTCCACATCTTCCGTTCCTGGCAGTTCTCACGGAGCAGTAGTCAAATAACAATTTCCTTTCGGGAAACCCCAAATGTGGCATGATCTTCCTATCGCACACAAGATCGTCTGTCAAGGTTCTATGGTTCTCTTAGGCTACACAACTGCCATGTCTCGACCTAAAATCCCCCATTTTTAGTCCAACGAGATCCCCAACACAACGTAAGACACCTACAAAGACGTGTCCAAGTCCACTACCGTTTGACACCTTTCGGTGTTTCTTTTCACAACACAAGCTAATCCGCAAATGTACAAACGAAAAACTACGCGTCACGACAATCCCGTCGATGAATCCGCACCGCTAATCTCCTCGGGTTACTAAAATCCGACAGTCGTCTACCCCTTCTAGATCGGTTCCTTCTCCCTTCTCTCCACTTCTTCACCCCTACTCTCCATTACTCCCCGACACTCGTATACCGTCGGCTCCAATTTCGAATCCTCCTCGAGGTTTGTTGTCTACACCTGCTCCGCTAATATGCCGCTAATCCAGTTCCCGCCAACACCACTACCCGTCAACCGCTTCCCACCAAACACTTCCCGCCAGCCTACTTTCCCCCTTCCCACTTTCTCTACACCCCTTCGCATCACGTACGTCCTCTTCAGGAATTCCGTACCCGCTTCAGTTCACGGTTTCCTCTTCCGATCTTATTTTCGCGCCTTTACACCTGTGGCATGCTCCACTTCCGAACCCTATTCTTCGCCACCTCTCCGCGATACCTCGTCTTTAAGCCACTACCCCTTTCTTCCCAATTCTCTCACAACCACTGGCAACGTCCTCGCTGCTCTCACCTACCTTCCCCAAGACTGCCTAGTCTACACTTCCTTTCCTCGTTTACGCTTCCGTTTATCTAGTTCACACTTCCGTTTCTCTAGTTCACGGAAGTTTACGCTTCAGTTTATCTTATTCACGGAAGTTTACGATTCCGTTTATCCAGTTTACGCTTCCGTTTATCCAGTTCACGCTTCCATTATCTAGTTCACGCTTCCGTTTATCTAGTCTACGCTTCCGTTTTCAGGCATTCCAAAGTTCCTCTCCCTTGCACTAGCATCACTGCTATACACGTCATTACTCACGTATCTCTCAGTCACATTGTCCTCGCCCAATGCTCAGTCTCCCTAGGCTTCCACACGATTTATATTACAACAACGTGTGCGCCACAAAGCTCTGCCAGCTGCGGACTCTCGTTATTGCGCCCTTATCGCTGCTGCTTGCCTCGATCTCGGCATATCCATATACTACCACTCGGCCTGCACGCCGCCTCTCCGACCTCCTCAACCTTCCTCTCGGTCAGCCCATCTTTTTCCTTCACCAGCGGCTCCTAACACCAACTGCCCAGATATCGACAACTGCCCAGATATCGACCGTGCAGCCAGAGCCCTACCGGTTCCTCGACTTCCTGTACACCTCATCCTCGCAAGTGCGCCTTTTCCATGTGTATATCCTTCCTCACCATCCAAATCTCTGCCTCTCGGCGCATTCCCTCCATTTCCCTTCCTCGCCGCCTCTCACTCCGCTCAGCTATCCGTCTCGCTTCCACCATCAGCCCCTCCCCCTGCCTCCATGCGTCAGTCGCGCTGGGTTGATTCCGCCCTCTGGCCTGCACCATATCCCAACAACCCTCGCTCCACAGTCGACCTTTCCCCACCCTCCACTCCGACCTTTTCCTGTCTAAACTTCACATTCTCCTCCTGCACTACTTGCTCTTCGCCGACTAGTTATGGTCCGCCGTACCATCCCTCCCCCGTCTGTGTCCAGCATCCTCGTTGATTTCGTTGTCTGCGTAGTGCCCCGTACAACGAGCCATTGCATATACGGTGTCTTCCGCATCTCTGAAAGAATCTACCGCACAAAACCCGAGATAAAAGAAGTTCACGCGCAAATACCACTCGTCATTTAATTGGCTACGACCATCTCACATTGTTCGTCATCCAATTTAACTTTCCACACGCACCTTGCACTGACTGCTGATCTAGTAATCTTCGAGTCTCCGCAACTCGACGAGGACACACACCTCCGCTCGGAGAGTAGCGGTTAGAACTCACTTTTTTTTTTCGACTTCTTCACCACACAATATGCCCAAAACATGAGCCCCACCCTTAATGAACATCACGTCGCACAAGACCGCCGCCCCAGCGCGAAACCAGGGCACGCGTGACTTCACAAGCGAAAGAGTAAACATAAGCTAGGTGCAAAACAACTGTTTGGTGCGTGAAAGAATAACGTGCCCACACACATCGTGCCTTTACGGAGCTGCTCACGGAGCGAAACGTTTGGAGCGTGAAAGAATAACGTCGCCACACACATGGTGCCTTTGCGGAGCTCCTCATTGAGCGAAAGGTACGACGCGCGAACAGCGTGAAGACACCATTCTAAATGGAAAAGAGTCTTTCGCGTAACGCAAGCCAGGAATAGGTGCAATCAATCTGACATTATAGACACGTTCGTATGCTGGGTTGGTGCAGTTCGTCTCGCTCAATGGCAGAACGCGACATGTACAGGAACCCGTTCCCTAAATCTCATTCTTAATCTGCATTACGACCCGTTTCACAACATCCAAAGCAGAAGTCACGAATTTAACCACCAGTTGTGTAGGCGAACAAGGGGGCAAAAAGCGGTGCAACAAAACTTACACGCTTCTGCACGTGCTCGCATCAAACCCTGGAGGCAAGTTCCCACTCGGAATGGGCTCCAACTGTTGCTGAAACAGGCCAACGAAACATCACAGACGGTATTAAAAGGGATTGAAAACATTCCGAACCGCTGACTAAGCAAAACAGCAACCTGGAAAGAAGAAGAGAGACACAAGACAGAATGGAAGGCCGCAATAGATAGCCACGGGAGAAAGAAGGCGGCGAAAAACGAAAGAGAAAGCCGTAACGACCCCAAAAGCATCAAAACGCAACAACAGGGGAGCGGCAGGAAGCGGCAAAAAAAGAGCAGCAAACGGGGTGCGAGAAAAGGCGCCATAGCAGCTGCTGCACAAGACGCGTCAGAAAGAACCAATACGAGCAAACTAACAACAGAACTAAATGCGAAAGAGAGAGCGCCGAAAGAGAGAACGCCAGAAGGGAACACCAACGGGGACTACGAGATAACGCCAACGAGCCAGCGCAAGGACAAAAGGCAAACAGAACCGGGCAAGGAACACTGCCAAGAAAAAGGGCAGGATACACAAGTTGTTTCATCTCCTCTGACCCTGATCATCTCCCGCAATCAAAGCAACGGAGATACCCACCACGTTTGCAGCAGAAAGAGTGCGCGACGACAATAGACTAGGAGCAAGACGCAACAAACCCCCCACATCCAACAACACAATCCACAGGGAAAAGAAATTCAAATGATTACACCATTACCATTGCATCGTTGGCAAAAGGGAGAACTGAGACCTAGCCATACAGAATCGCCACCGTTAGTTGAGCACAAGACCCTTCGCAGAAAAAACACACCAGGGAAATCTCCGTTCGTCCACCTCTTTTCCGACCAAGGCAGAATTCCCACCGACGACATCATCCCCCATAGACCGACCTCATAAGAAAGACCCATTTCCGGCAAGGAGGATTCCGATGCCCAACCACTTCGTGAGAACAGCCAGAAGCAAGACTCAACTTATCATATTACTCCACAGCCCACCCGCCAACATTGCATCTACCGCCGTGCCAATTCCGTTGCAGATCTCAAGAACTCGACCAGAAGCACGTCGCTCGCACAGCCCCGAACATCTGGCGTTGCCAGTGATTTAGAACCTAAAAATTCACTTGCAGAAACCGAACCCATACCTACAAAGCTGCCACAGCACGGCGAACTAATCCTTTTTCCCTGGCCTTCTCCCTCGAGCTGATTCTCCCTCTTCCGATCAGCTCACACCGTGGGCCTGCCCGGTGGCCAAAAGTTTCACTACGTACACGAAAAGCACTCGATAAATGCGACCAGCTGTTAGGGAGAAGATGGGAACATACCTGAGACATAGCGGACAACAGCCCTGGATGATAAATCGGCTGTTGCAACATTGCCGCCTGCTGGATCATCGACTGTTGCGTCTGGATCGCCGGTTGCGTCTGCAAGGATTGCTGTTGCTGCTGCTGCTGTTGCAGCTGCTGCTGAAGCTGCTGCTGGAGCTGGAGCCCTTCCTGATATTGGGCGGCCTGCTGCTGCAAGACGACATTTGCAGCGTACATTTTTCCAGGTGCTCGCTGGTTGCCAAAGAGCAGCAGCAGGGGCAACCAAGCGATAAGAACTGACCGTGGCGGCGACGGCAGAGGACGTCCCTTTCGCAATTACGTTTCCTCTCTCTCTCTCTCTCTCGCTCGCTCGCTCGCTCGCTCGCTCGGTCCCTCGTTTATGCGTGTGTCTATTTGCCGGGCAGCTCTGTTTGACGATATATATGCGTGCGTGTAAATGTGATGGACGTCACTACGTATGAACCTCAGAATCGCAAGAGAATACCAGCGACACAAAGCGGGAAAGCGGCAGCAGCAAGTTCGCTCCTGCTCTTGCCCCGTCACGCACGAGAGCTGCCTGAAATTATTCAGGAAATTAATCCCGCCAATCGACTTCCCAAGCCAACTACCCGCCACAAGCAATCAGCGACGATACTCGCAGGTTGACGACGACGCTCCCCTGGTAGCCACGCCGTTGCTGAGACGCTCATTCACTCCGGCCTACACACGCCGCAACCGTCCGGGGCTGCGGAATCAGGACCATCAAAGATCGTAATCGAGGCCATAAATGGCCGCCTGCCTGTGGAATAAGGGAAAGACCCTTACCGATGGACGCGTGCAAAAGCTGCGAGCTACAGGCACCCAAACCAAGAGAGCCTCCAAACCGAGCACGCCGACCTCCGTCTCGCCCCTACCTCAACAACCAAGACCGCCGCGCACGGTAAGAACTTCGTAATCGGAACCCGCTGACGATAGATGGAGAATGCTTCTATCTGTTAGAAAATCGGAAAAGCAACATGGTGCTCTGCTCGCGCCGCCTACTACCGCTGCTCACTCCAGTGTATTCGACAGAGCCCCGAGCGCAGTGATTTCGACCTGTCACGCCAACCGGAAAGCAACACCCTCAACGCGCCACACACCGGCACACTCGTGTCCATGTCACGCCGTGGAAGTCCAGTGCCACAGTCCCAGTAAAGTGGTGATTAGGCTCTCTGTGCACCAACGAAGTCATTCCAGCGGGCCCCATGGATTCCTTGTCGGCCGCTCTAAGGGCTGAGGCCCACTGTCCATGGTGGGAGGCGCAGCCTGCAGGGAGCGAGGAACCAGGGAGAAACACAGCCGGTGTGGGACCGTGGCTACCAGATGGGGGTTGCGGCTAGAAACAGGGAGGCATCTTTGCTCAGGGGTGCATTTTATACCCCTGAATTCGCAGCCCTAAGGCTCCGGTATAGTGGGCTTCGGCGTGTGTCAAAATGGCATATTTTCACCGGTGGAACCAGCACATTGTCTACCACGTGGGCGCAGGGAGCGCAGCCCTAAGGTAGCCAAAGTAATGAGACTAAGAGCGCGCATAAGAGAGAGAGAGAGAGAGAGAGAGAGAGAGAGGGAGAGAGAGTCTTGTTCCATTTA